GGAGACAGCTCCTTGTTTGTAGCCCCAACGTTGCCTTTCTCTGTGCTCTAAAATCTTTCTTCCTCAGCTTTCTCTACGGGCTATGCTCTTCTATGGCTGCCTGTTTGACTTTCTGGAGGCATCTCTGTCTCTCTCACACGCCAGGACCAGAGCCACACCCAACCAATTCCTTACCGACATGCCTGAGTCGTCTTGAATGTACCTTTGTTTTCGCAAGAGCCACAGGCCTATGCTGGAGACGGAGAGCGCTAAATTGTTTAGCTGTCTGATTATAAAGGCTTCTTTATATTTATATATTCTTTGTATTTATGCTGAACTTATAATGACCCAGCCCCAAATCACAGTTTCCCCCAACTAGTAATATAGGGAATGAATATAGGTAATTAGTGGAAGAATGTTAGGCACACAAAGGAAACTTTTTGAATTCGTCCAGGTGAAAGCTGCCCCCTAAGAGCAGTGGTTCTCAAAGTGTGGTCCATGAATCCGACCGTCTTGCAGGTAGCCGCAAGCTTGGCGCTCAGCCTCCCCAACCCCTGTTTCCCCAGCTGGGAAGAGGAGGAGCACCAGTGCCGGCTTCCCACTGCGGGGGGGAGGAGAGGCAGGGGAGCCCCGAGTCTCGCAGGTTGGATCCAGCTTCTGGGGGAAGGAAGAGGCTTTTGGCGCTGCCACTCCCCCTCCTTCTGGCTGGGGAAAAGGCAGTACAGGAAACTGCTTTCCTGGAGGCTTTCCCCGCTGCTCCCATAGCCAATGAGAGTAGTGGGAGGCATGGAGCCAGGGAAGCACCCCCACCCCTCATGCCAGACCCTGCACCCTCCTCATGCCTAGGGATGTGAAGGACTAGTTGACTATCTGATAAGCAAATGCTTATCGGATAGTCACTAGGATAGTTGACTAGTCGCTCCCCTTCTCTCCCCCTCCCCTTCACCCTCCCTCCCAGAGCTCTCACCCCCACTCTCTCCTGCACCCATTTTGTCATCATGGATGGTTGGCTGGTGGTCCACAGAAAGGCTTGCATTGAGCGGGGTTGGCCACAGGCCAAAAAGTTTGAGAACCGCTGCACTGACGTTACTCATGCAGCCTGCGGACAGAAACACACCATATGACTTATCATAATTAGCCACCACGTCTTTAATTTCACATGTCAAATGAACACAGCAAATTTCTTGTGGAAAAATCCAACGGTCAAAAATAAATTGAAGATATTATTTGGTGACTAACTTGGAATGGCAGCCACTTGGGAGGAAAATGGGAACGGTCTACAGGAAACTCGTGAGGAAGAAAGAGGCAAAATGTGTGGATTAGTGTATGTGCTGAAAATTATTCACCCAGCATTACTCTTGAGACAAAGGAGGAATGAGAGCCAAAGACCCATGTGTTTGCCTGGCAGAAAAGGGACGTTCAAAGTTTATTTTTTTACTGTAAATTATACATTGATATAGATAACCTTTATTGGCAGATTTAAAGGTAATTTAAATAATCAAATGATCTTTTTTGGCATCTCTAACCAAGTCCCTGTCATTATAATGACCAGAGGCCACTGCCAGCTAGTCAGTGGCTTGTGTGTAATGAATTTGGTGAGTCTTAGCCTTGTTTCTAGAGGGCTATGTGCCTGCATCCTTGTTACCACTCATTATCCCCCTTCTGGGCATGCTACAGTATTGCCATCATGAAATCATAGAATCATATAATACTAGGACTGGAAGGAACCTCGAGAGGTCATCGAGTCCAGTCCCCTGCCAAATGTTCTAAAATCAGGAGCTAAGCTTCCAAAAATCATAAGAATGGCTTCAGATCCCAAAGTCTCCATGCAGGTGATGAGGTGGGTTTTGCTCACAAAAGTTTATGCCCAAATAAATCTTTTAGAGTACTTCTTATTAGCATGCTTATTTTGAAATAAGGTATTTCGGAGTCTTTTTCCGTAATAGCTAATTTTCAAATAGCACATCTACACTTCAGGGAAGCCTCAAAATTAGTCTCCCCTAACGTGTATGTGTTACCTTGATTTAGAGCCGAAGGAGGCACCGGGCAGTAATGACTTTGAATGGCCCTGGCGAGGAGCTATTTCAAAATAGCAGCAGTGGAGCATCCACACTACCACTATGCCGAAATCACAATTTCGGAATAAGCGTTATTCCTCGTGGAATGAGGTTTGCAGATTTTGAAATAAGCTGTCCGTTATTTTGAAATTATTTCAAAAATAACAGAATGGCTGTCTAGGCACTTGCATTGTTATTTTGAAATAACGGACGTTATCTCGAAATAACTGTGCTGTGTAGGCGCACCCTTAGTCTTTAAGGTGCCACGGGGCTCCTTGTAGTTTTTTCTAAAATCCTGAGTTTGTTTTAAAAATGCATTCAAAACCAGTTTGGAAACTTTTGACTAGGCAAAGTTACAATAAAAGGTCCATATCCTACATCATACGTTACTCAGTTGGGATCAGGTTGAATATTCAGAGAACCTAGCTAAAGCTTCTGGCTCTCTATTTGCCATCTGGCTTTCAAGCTTTTAGGCCAGAGTTTCTCAAAGTGGGCTGCGGGCCTGTGGTGGGACAGCCGCTAACAGCCCGCTGTGCTTTGTTTATCTAAAGGCTCTGTAGCCATTGGCTCTGGTTTGATGTTTCCAGCCAAGGGGAGCCGCGGGAAGCCATGGGAAAGAGACATTCACATAACCCACCCCCCAAAAGCTGAGATTCTCATAGAGTCACATGGCTCTGGGAAGTTGGAGCTTTGAGGGAAAAGACTAATTGTTGTGAGGCTCATGATAAAATTGGGAGGGCTGGCAACACCTTGCTCTCAGCAGAGGGACCAAGGACTGAAGGCGCTCTACAGTTCTTTCCCCCAACCACTGTCAAATGGCACCTAATTCCACAGTTTTTCCATGGGAATTAACCCTGATTTACACCAGTGATAACTGACAGGAAAATCTGACCCATGGACTCTCGGAAATGAAATTAATACAGGCTAGAGAAACCTGGGTATCTGTGTATCTCTTGCCTTGAGGCCTTCATCCTTTAGGCATGCCAACATGGCACCTTCACGCACATTAAATTGTCTTTACAAGCAGCAAAATTGCAAGCAACAGGGAACATACAGTGTGATTGGACAGCTGCCCGGCAAATACTATGAAAGGAGCAAATCTGCCAAAGAGAGAAGCGACAGGTTGACTGACACCAGTTGTTCAGCACAGACACAGCAATTAAGGGAGGACATACTAATAGGGAAACTGATGTGATGAGGCAGTGATGTGCCTCGTTATTTCAGACACACTAAACAGCAGCAAACCACCCCCCATGCACCCCTAAAAGTAATCCCCAAAATGATGCACTGTAGAACTCTTGACTGGTTTTGTTGCAGAAGAAAAATTAGTATTCTTATGAGCCAGACTAGTCCTTCCAGCTTGCATTTGTAGCCCCCATTAGTGGAAAAAAAATAATTTCATGCTTGGGCAGAAGCTGTTCCATGGCTTTTCGATGCCAATCAGAGGAATAATTACTTATCAATGTCTCCTGCAGTAAATGCACACGACACGCTCTTGACCTTGAAAAGGAAAAAGAAATCCAAAGCTACCCTCCTTGTGCTCTGGGGGTAGAAAAATTAGTTGTGTCAAAAAAAAAAAAATCAAAGGTCAGAGTCACATTCACTGGCTGCTGGGTGGATTGCAGGGGAGAGAGATGTAGTTTTATCCTGGACTATAGTTTTCAGTAAACGAAAAAATTCATCACAAAAGGGGTGAATTTGTTCCCATTTCCTTCCCCCCTCTAATCTAAATTGAAATAGGAAAGCAACTGTCTTGTTTTCCAGCAGGGCTTTGAAGTTTATTTACAACAGCAGATTAGTTGTCTCCCCCGCCCTTTTCATAATCATAATCATTTCATGGACACATTGGTATCGGAGATGGAAAAGGCCACGCGGAGTCCCTGGTTATACCAGTCACTTGATTATTCCCTGGTCTGTTCATTCCCTCTGGGCCTCGTGACATTGGACGTTTTTGGGAGACAGGACTCTGGGCTAGATGGACCTTTGGTCTGACATAGTTTGGCAGTGCTTACATAAGAACAGCCATACTGGGTCAAACCAAAGGTTTATCTAGCCCAGCAGGCTGTCTTTCGATAGTGACCAATGCCAGGTGCCCCAGAGGGAATAAACACAACAGGGAATCATCAAGTGATTCCTCCCCTGTCGCCCATTTCCAGCCCCTGACAAACAGAGGTGAGGGACACCATTCCCACCCATCCTGGCTAATTAGTATTGATGGAGCAATCCTCCAGGAATTTATCTAGTCCTTTTTTGAACTCTGTTAAAGTCCTGGTCTTCACAACATCATCTGGCAGGGAGTTCCACAGGTTGACTCTACACTGTGTGAAGAAATACTGCCTTTTGTTTGCTTTAAACTGGCTACCTATTCATTTCATTTGATAACCCCTAGTTCTTATGTAAAGTGAATGTAAAGCACTGCCAGTTTGCCATTGCTCTGCACTTTAGATGCTGACCAGAAAGGTCATTGTTCGATCCCTTCCACAGCCACTGTGCCATTCTCCGCACTGTGGTTTCTATTTTGTCTGCTGGGATCCCATCCACCTGCTGTGTCTTGTCTCTTAGGTTGCGAGCTCTTTGGGTAGGGCTGCCGTTTGCTATACGACTGTGCAACCCCTTGCACAGCATGGTCCTTACCTGATTGCCCTCGAGGCAACACCAACCCTATCATTGTTAAATAAGGATAACCTGAGGCGCTGGGTCTGTCTATTGAGTTCTTTCGCTGTGATTTCCTGTGATCCAGTGAATAAAGTATATGGTCAAATTATTTATTTTAAATTTTCCTTGTCTTGTTAACCTGCGAGCAATTGTCTCTGGAAAGCCGGATGGACAATAAGCTAGGGGTGGTTCACCAGGGTTAGCTGCTGACTGGTCTGCAGGTAGGGCTGCTCACAGCTCCTGTTGGCCGTGCTCTGCCATTCCCAGCCAATGGGAGCTGCAGGAAGGGGCACGGAGAGGGTCATCACTTCTTGCAGCTCCCATTGGCCAGGAATGGTGATCCATGGCCAATGGGAACCACGAGTGGCCCTACCTGCAAACCTGCAGGTAAATAAAGCATGTCATGGCCCACTAGGGGCTAAACCTGGCGAACCACGTCCAGCATGTAGGCGGCTTATTGTCCCCCTCTGCTATAAAGCATTTGTGGTCTGCTTGACAGAGGCGGTGAATACCCACAACTCCACATGTGGAAAGCCACATATTTCAGGATTGGGATATTGGCAGGACTGACTACCGATGATAAACATGAAATGCACCACAAATGACCTATCTGTGATGGGATGGTCACAATTGCCTCCACTGGGCCTCCTCCTTTGATATGTACAGCACAGGAGCACTTGAGACAGCTAATGAATGTTAAAGGTAAGGAATAGCCGTCAGTAGTACCGACACAGGCATTATTTAAGAACGCTGCACAGCTGTTTAGAAATGCTGCTCAGCTGGAGAGACTTTTATGTGCTTAGCCAGAATTCATTTTCAGACTATCCAGAGAAAATGCCTACTCTGTAAGAAAATCTTAATTTTTAATAACCGTGTCCAAAGTATTTGAAATGGGTGCTGGATATGGAAGATTCCACTCCTTGGTCTTTCCTTTCCATGAATTCGCTGGTCAGTTTTACGCTAATATTTGTAACGTTCTGCATTGGATCACCTGATTTTGCTGTACACAGTGCAGAGTCTGCATTGTGCCATGCAGTGCACAGTGTGTACACAAAAGATACTCAGAACCATTAATTGGATGATGTAGTATGCAGTAAATGTCTAACTCTCTCCTTTCTTCTCACAAACAAAACCCACAGCCAATGGATCACTGGGCAAAATCGAGCAAATTAATGAACGCTGCAGCCTGATGCCTCTCGTTTAATTCTTGTTTTTAGTTTCTTGAGTTCATTATTGTTTTGGTCAATGATGAGACCGTAATCCACAGTTTTCCAGGCCTCTTCATAGCGGGGAATTTCAAAATAATGTTGTGCTATTTGGTGAAATGTTTGGGCCAAAATTTCCCTCCCAGGGCCATTATTAATGTTGCACAAAGCTAGCGACGGTTCTAGTTGCAATGCCTCAATGTATTCTTTAACTGCGGCTTCCACTTCTGCAAGTGATAAGAGGATATGACCCTTTGAGCAGTGATCTTCAGTTTGAGTTCTTGGGTCATGAGACCTACTTTTCTGGATCACCTTGTCCATGTCCTTTAATGCCCTGCTGTGTTCCTTCAGGTGCATCAGGCATGCGGCACGCAGCCGAAGGTATCGCGGGTTATTGTTGCTTGCTAAGACAGCCAGTGAGTAATAATTTAGAGCCTTCTCATAGTGGCGGTCCTTCATCAGTGAATTTCCTTCTTGGGCTGCTACCTGTGGACAGAGAAAGCACTGGTAATTATTCCTTTAAAAATGAGCCAAACAAATAGTATTTCAGCTACTAGATCCATCCATCCATCCATCCATCCATCCATCCATCCATCCATCCATCCATCCATCCATCCATCTATCTCTTTAGTCTTGGTCCACTGTCTTGTTTTCCATCTCTAATACATTGATGGTTGAAGTTCTGTTTACTGCCTTTGATAGCGTCTGCTCTTGAATTAGCCTCCGCATGTAGGCTTTTCTTCTGAGCAGTTTCAATGCTGGCCCATTTCTCTGCTCCATTGCTACCATTCCTAACGTAGAGCATATGAGTACCCCAATGACTGTAGTGCGATTATACTCTTATATGCATATATACATAAAAACACACACATCTATCTATCTATCTATCTATCTATCTATCTATCTATCTATCTATCTATCTATCTATCTATCTATCTATCTATCTATCTATCTATCTATCTATCTATCTATCTATCTATCTATCTATCTATCTATCTATCTATCTATCTATCTATCTATCTATCTATCTATCTATCTATCTATCTATCTATCTATCTATCTATATACACACATATATACATATACACACACACTCCTGCTTTTGTAACTTCCACTCCAATTCGTCTGATGAAGTGGGTTTTACCCATGAAAGCTGATGCCCTAATAATTCTATTAGTCTGTAAGGGTGTGTCTACGCTGCAAATTGTGTATCTTATTTCAATGCTATTTCAAAATAGTTTATTTTATCATTTGGCACTGTCTACATAGCACTAAATTTTGAAATAAAGTGTGATTCCGAAATGTCCCTTACTCCTCGTAGAATGAGATTTACAGGGATATTGGAATAGCGAGCCTGAAATAACAGGCTTGCTCTGAAGATGCGGGATAGTTATTCCGGGATACTCTGGTATCCTGAAATAGTGTTGTAGTGTAGATGTACCCTAAGGTGCCACAGGGCTCCGTGTGGTTTTTGTTTTGCACTGTGTTATCCCCACTTGGCTAGTCTTCCTGAAAAGACCCACACCTGCACTTTGGTTTCTCTCCCAGGACAATGGGAGAGATCCGCACAGCCCCTTCTAAGTAAGCACATTCATCAGGAAGGCAAAGAGAAACCATGTAAAAGACAAGGAACTAAAAAGCATATCAAAGGTCAGCCCCCAGCTCCAACCTACAGTTATAGCAAATTTTAGTCCCACAACTGGGTTTTCCCGGTGGTTACAAATTCATCCATCTTAAATCCAGAGCCCAAGACTGGGCAGATCCAGCTGTTTCTTTATACAGCTCAGGCTTTTGACCTTGGCTTTCTCTAACCGGTAGCCAGCAGAAATGACTCTCTTCTCAGAGCAGCACTTCAAACCTCTGGGTTTTTGCATAATTGGAACTGGGGAATTTGCATTCAGCTTTCCCCAGAAATTCCCCAGGATCCACACTTGTCAGGCACATTTTTAGTATTGATTTTGCAACTTACTACAATAAAGTCTTGCAAGGATATTGTAGGAAAGTGCCATATCTGTCCAAGTACAGCCGGCTCATTGGTTGTATTCAGCTGTCTGCAGTGAAATACCTAATGCAAAACCTGATAAATAACTCTGAAGCAACAGTGTTAAGAACAAGAAGGGGGAAGCTCCACGCACAAGTGATCCATATCTTGGTAGCAAAGACGGATTGAGACTGAAGAGAAAGATTCAAGCTGCAGGGAAAAATTGGCCGTCTGACAGTTTTTCTAACTATTGGTCTTGAACACCAGTTAGCTCTCAGCATTATCAAAAGGGGAATGTGCACATGCGTACACACACACACACACACACACACACACACTAGGTTCAGAAAGATCAGCCAGGAAAGTTCCATTAGAACTATGTGCCTCTAATGCATTTCTCATTATTGCTCTTTATTACTAATAAATGAAACAGTGCTCTTACATGCTGTCGGGTATGTTTATGTTCTAAACAACATCATGGCAAATGTGGCTCAGCTAAGAGCATCTAGGCCTTGGATGGCTGGTTTCATTAGTGTCCTCATGAATGACAGGAGATGTTTTAACCCGTGTGTCAAGGGGTGCCTTGCCCATTCGCCGGTGAGGGTGGCGACAGGCCCTCTGTGGCCCCTTGGACTCCATCTCGGGATTGCGTGGTCTAACATCCACAGAATCTATACTCTTGAACCCGCATTCAGAGTAGTATGGCCTAGCGGCCACAGAGTCTATATACTTCCCCCTGTGTTCAGGGTAGTATTGCCTAGTGGCCACAGAGTCTATATACTTCCCCGTGTTCAGGGTAACATGGCCCAGTGGTCAAAGAGTATATACAATTTCCCTGTATTCAGGGTAGCACAGCTTACCGGCCACAGAGTCAATCCATTTCCCCCTGGGGTCAGGGAAGTACACAGGGTCAATATACAGTAGGCAAACCTTCTCTGTATGGGGTAGGTGAGGACGGGGTAGGGGGACCCAGGCCCTCCCTCTCCACCTGGTCCCAGCCCAGGGCCCTGTCAGCAGTGGAGTAGTCCAGTGCAAGCTTGGTGGGAAATCCCACCACAGCACGCTGAGCTCCCAGGGAACAAGTCCCCACCCTGGGCTACTTTCTACCAGTATCCTGTGGGCAGACCTCTCAGTCTCTTTCCTCTGGTCTTGGAGGTTCCCCCACAGTCCCTCTCGGCCTCGCTGCCGTGGCTTGGTCTGTCAGTGCTTCCTCCTCTGGAGGTCCTGTGGCACCTCCTTCCCCGGCGGCTGTCAGCACTGACTGTGCAGCTCCAGAGACCTTTATAGCCAGCTTCCCACTAGAGCATGCCCAGCAGGGCTGGGGGGCGGGGCCTCCTCCGCCAGGTGAGCCAGGTTAACCCTTTGAGGCCCAGTGCTGGGTTGCTGGACCCCATCCCAGCATGTCAAACGGCTAGCAGTTAGGAGAAGCAACCAGCCTTGTCAAGTGCTACTGGGGAGCAAGACTTCCAAACAGTGGAAGATTAAAAAAGAGGTTTATGATTTCTTCAGTGACCTTTTGGTTTTCAGACTGGGCCAAGGTTGACTGGCTTTGGACGTTCCTAACACAGAGGGCCCCTTAGAATCATAGAATCATAGGACTGGAAGGGACCTCGAGAGGTCATCGAGTCCAGCCCCCCGCCCTCAAGGCAGGACCAAGCTCCGTCTACACCATCCCTGACAGATGTCTATCTAACCTGTTCTTAAATATCTCCAGAGAGGGAGATTCCACCACCTCCCTTGGCAATTTATTCCAATATTTGACCACCCTGACAGTTAGGAATGTTTTCCTAATGTCCAATCTAAACCTCCCCTGCTGCACTTTAAGCCCATTACTCCATGTCCTGTCCTCAGAAACCAAGAGGAACAAATTTTCGCCTTCCTCCTTGTGACACCCTTTTAGATATTTGAAAACCACTATCATGTCCCCCCTTAATCTTCTTTTTTCCAAACTAAACAAGCCCAGTTCATGAAGCCTGGCTTCATAGGTCATGCTCTCTAGACCTTTAATCATTCTTGTCACTCTTCTCTGTACCCTTTCCAATTTCTCCACATCTTTCTTGAAATGTGGCGCCCAGAACTGGACACAGTACTCCAGCTGAGGCCTAACTAGTGCAGAATAGAGCGGCAGAATGACTTCACGAGTTTTGCTTACAACACACCTGTTGATACAACCTAGAATCATATTTGCTTTTTTGGCAACAGCATCACACTGTTGACTCATATTCAACTTGTGGTCCACTATGACCCCTAGATCCCTTTCCGCCATGCTCCTTCCTAGACAGTCGCTTCCCATCTTGTATGTATGGAACTGATTGTTCCTTCCTAAGTGGAGCACTCTGCATTTCTCCTTATTAAACCTCATCCTGTTTACCTCCGACCATTTCTCTAACTTGCTAAGGTCATTTTGAATTATGTCCCTATCCTCCAAAGAAGTTGCAACCCCACCCAGTTTGGTATCATCTGCAAACTTAATAAGAGTACTCTCTATCCCAATATCTACATCATTGATGAAGATATTGAACAGTACGGGTCCCAAAACAGACCCTTGAGGAACTCCACTTGTTATCCCTTTCCAGCAGGATTTAGAACCGTTAACAACAACTCTCTGACTACGGTTATCCAGCCAATTATGCACCCACCTTATCGTGGCCCTATCTAAGTTATATTTGCCTAGTTTATCAATAAGAATATCATGCGAGACCGTATCAAATGCCTTACTAAAGTCTAGGTATATGACATCCACCGCTTCTCCCTTATCCACAAGGCTCGTTATCTTATCAAAGAAAGCTATCAGATTAGTTTGGCATGACTTGTTCTTCACAAACCCATGCTGGCTATTCCCTATCACTTTATTACCTTCCAAGTGTTTGCATATGATTTCCTTAATTACCTGCTCCATTATCTTCCCTGGGACAGACGTTAAACTGACCGGTCTATAATTTCCTGGGTTGTTCTTATTCCCCTTTTTATAGATGGGCACAATATTTGCCCTTTTCCAGTCTTCTGGAATCTCCCCTGTCTGCCATGATTTTTCAAAGATCATAGCTAAAGGCTCAGATACCTCCTCTATCAGCTCCTTGAGTATCCTGGGATGCATTTCATCAGGACCTGGTGACTTGCTGACATCTAACTTTCCTAAGTGATTTTTAACTTGTTCTTTGTGTATCCTATCTTCTAAACTTACCCTCTCTCTGCTTGTATTCACTACGTTAGGCACACCTCCAGACTTCTCGGTGAAGACCGAAACAAAGAAGTCATTGAGCATCTCCGCCATTTCCAAGTTCCCTGTTACTGCTTCTCCCTCCTCACTAAGCAGTGGGCCTACCCTGTCCTTGGTCTTCCTCTTGCTTTTAATGTATTTATAAAAGGTCTTCTTGTTTCCCTTTATGCCTGTAGCTAGTTTGATCTCATTTTGTGCCTTTGCCTTTCTAATCTTGCCCCTGCATTCCCGTGTTGCTTGCCTATATTCATCCTTTGTTAGTTGTCCTAGTTTCCATTTTTTATA